TAAGTGGATTAGATAACATCTATTAATACTTTTATTGAGCATTTGTTATTGAATCAGGCTCTTTGAAATTATACTAATTAATACTCTCAACAATGATTACAGGTAGATAGCATTTTTTAGGTAGCTCCGATGAGAAAACAGAGATTTACATTCCCTAAAGACAAAATCTTTGGCCAAAGTGAACAACCAGAAAGAGGCAAACCCAGGAACTGAGAGCAGATTTTGTCCTAAGCCCCAGGCTCTCGCTCACCTCACTGGGTTGGAGCATTCTGGATTTCAACTTGACCCTGAGTGAGCATGGGGAGGCCCCATTCTCTCCTCCATCCATAGCACCATGACCACCAAGAACTGGATTAGATCTTCCTATTCCCCTTTCCTTCCTACCTTGAAAGGGACATTGGTTCCCAGAATCAGCATTGGCTGTGAAGCTGCAGGTGGTGGATGAAAGGCCTCGCTTGGCTAAGTCATTCCCAGAGTCGATCCCTTGATCCAGCTCTAGTCCTAAAGAAATGGGCAACTGGGTACTTGATTCCAGCTGTGTCTGTGAAGGCTGCACCTCTGAGAGGTAGTAGCTCAAGTCTCCACTGCAAGTCCCTTGGGGACAGGTCTCCTGGGAGGGCGCTGAAAGTAGAAGGGGCTTCAGTTGGAACAGTCTGTTTTCCCTTTGTTAAGTGCTCCCAGACACCCATGCCTGCTGTCCCTGCTTCTCACTAAATTCTTGCAGTGACCTAGGCCATACAGACCAACATCATGTAAATGTAGGTGATGTCACCTTTCCTGTGTGTGCCTGGGGACACTGACAGGGTCTGGGGTTCCAGGACTAGGGTGTCCCTGAAGTGAAGTACTTGTGCAAAACTGCCTGCATATGCAGGTGGCCAGAGAAGAGATAATGGCACCATTGAAGGCATGTAGTTAGGAACATAATTTCAGAAAGGAGAGATTCCAGGTCTTAAAGGAGAAGGTTTGTTGCACTAATATATCTAGATGAGCTACTGTGGGCAAGAAATTGCTAAAAGCCCTAAGCCCTTTCCAGCTTTCATGCTCACAGCCTGCTCTTGTAAGAAGGAGTCAGGTGACAGAGGAGTCACTTGGGACAGGAGTAGAGGAAGTTTCACCCACTGGATGTATGTGATCAAAACTGGATCTCAGAGCAAGATTGAAAACAGATTCAGTGTAGATGGCCTGCCTGCACTGACAGCCTGTCTCAGCAGCACACGTTCCAGAAAGAAAACATGTGGAGGCAGCCTGGGAAGACACTGGAGCTTTGTGGCCTTCAGGTTGGAGTACTCACAGGCTACATCCAGAGCAGAGCATGTGAGCTGATCATCAAACGAGGACGAGGTGCCGCTATAAGGCTGGTGGCAGCCAGACAGGTCACGTTGAACTGAAGGAGTCAAGCAAATTTCATCCAAGGAGTCCTCTGGGACTTCCTGCTCCTTCAGCTGTGGCAGCTCCTGGCTCAGCCTGGAGCAAAGAAGACAGAAGATGAACACTGGGCAGGACCAAAACCAGTGCACCCCGCCGGTTCAATAGACAGGACCACAGGACAAGCCAATACAGTGCCCTCATAACCATTCTTCCCTATCTCAAGCAGGAGACAGAGCAGCACTTGCTCAGTGCACTGGGCAGACAATGAGCTGGGGAGGAAGGAGATGGACGGATCCCTGTGGGAAACTGCCAGGACACAGTGCATTCAGCACTTCTGCATACAAGTTGTTGAAACTAGCATCAGAGGCCAATTGACTATGGGTTATGGAATTTTCACAGAAAGAGTTCCTTTATCCTCAACATCACTTTTCTTAAAACTGTGAACATGACATGAGCTATTTTCATTCCCTTTCCTTCTATCAAATACTTGCAAACGTGGTAATGTCAAAGAGGCAGACATCAGGTGAGATCAGGAAATCCCTGAGCCTGGTCAGTTCATCTGCTCAACTGATTGTGGGTTCCTATGCTTGAGAGGGGTTAAGAAATTGAAACTTATTTAGGTACCACAATAAAGAAGACAACATTGTTAAAGGGGTAATTTGCAGTTGGATGGATGGATGGGATAGTTCTTTTCATCACTTCCCATCGGATTTTCTCCTGGATCCGTGGTCTCTAGGTGTCACTATTGAGCTAACAGCCCACAAATCCACAGTTACCTGGGGGGCACTGGCAGTTTCCCTTCCTCTTCCTCATGATCCTTTTGATTTCCTGTGAAAAAATTCAGAAGAGCAGGTCACAGTAAGCAAATCACACTTCACAAAAGCCCAAATCCATGTCCAGTTATAGCACAGGGACATAAATATCCTCAGTGTAAGAATGTGATATTCTGCCAGGAAGGTTCTAATGCGCTCTAGATCAAGTCTTGTCCGAAGTAGATGAGCCTGCTTTCCAGACCCATGGGACAGAAT